ACATCACAGGACTGCACTATGCTACACAACACAGGACAGCACTACACTACACTGAACATCACAGGACTGCACTATACTACACAGCTCAGGAGAGCACACAAACAAACAGCAGGTGAAGCAAAGCAGCCTGTCCCACTCCGCTGCCCTCTTCTCTCTGCTGCCCCCAGCAGGCAGGATGCTGTGTGCTGCCAAGGCTGAATTCTTCCTGATTCTCCCTCCAGATGCCAGTCAGCCCAGAGGCCGGAACTGCGGGAAGCTCCAGGAGTGAGCTGGGCTTTATCCACACTTCAGGTACCCTGACCTACATTGCCAAACTCACAAGGTCACTTGTTAATAAGGAAGGAGCTGACAGAATCACGGCACTAATTTATCTTCCACTGTCAGTGTTATCCCACCCCAGTTTTCCTATCCTGTGGTCTTAATGAGGCGGGAACAGTGAGAATGGCATCTCCTGACAGTGCTTGACAAAGGGAAGCCATGTCTCATCAACAGCTTAAGTGGTTCGAGACAGAAGTACCACAGGACACAGGCTGAGACAAACGGAAAGTGACTGTATCTCTGATGCCAGACTAATTTCTTAGATGTGTTCACGCAGTACCTTGCTGTAAAAGCAAGCCCCAAAAGAACCTTGTTCTGCGTACACTGCGTACAGGCATTGTGCAGCTCTATTTCCTAGTGCTTTTTCTTGACTTAAATAACATCCAGTACATGCCTGCGTGCTGTCAGAGCAGCACTGATTTTCAGAGCAGTAGATGCAGTGGGTTTGTGAAAGCTCACTGTATGCCAGGCTGGAGGCTGTTTTAAAGATCGAATTAAGGAGGAGGGCTGGACACCCAGGCCTCTGGGAGGGTAGTGAGCACAACCCTGCTCCTCTCTAACTCTCTCGTGCCACCTACTGGCCATATCCCAGCCTCACAGCCTCTGGGCCTCAGAGACTGAGTGAGAAAGGACATTAACACAAAACCGTACCTTTATGCACAGTATCTGCTTTTCTATTTCTTATCTTTAATAGAAGAACAACCTGTTGTAGTTTCTTGGTTACAAAGACATCTAGCAAGACATGGCCTACATCATTCATTCCAAACCTTTCCTGCTCAGCACGCTACAGGAATGTCTTTAGTTAGGTTTGTGAATAACTTGATGTAGCTTTGCCACTCTTGTGCTCCTTCATCTGTCCCATGCCTTTGTTGCTGTTAAACACAACATCCTCCCTAAATGCCTCAAGGATTTGCCTGCTGTTGCCAAAGTTGTGCAATGGTGCTTTGAGTCTGGTCTCTGCAGTGGAATTCCTTTTCATCACTTGGTCATTGTATGTCTGGCAAAACAGTTGTTGGTCCTGGTGTACCACAGTGGTCTATACTGGGGCCTCTCTTGTTTGTCATTTATATGTTACTTTAGGGAACAAATCTATAAATTATGGCAATGGATAACATTTCTATGCTGATGACAATCAATCTTACCTTACATGTAACCCAGATACTCAAACAATAGTGATTTGGCTTATATAAATGCTATGAGGATAATAAAATATAGGTGTATCAGACTTTTCATTAGTTAGCATCAGGGTGCTAATTTTAAAGATCATAACTTCATAATCTTGACTTTACTCCAAATAATCTAGTCTTATCCTTTGGTGAGATTTTAAATTATACTTGAAACATTGAACCGCATATTATGAGTACCATCAAAATCCTGTTCTCATTTGCATAATATTGCTATAGACTATACTGTTATCTTACGAAGGCTGAAAAAACATTGCTTTTACTGTATTTGAGAGCTCTTCTGTGGCTATATGCTCTCTCCTGTCACATCTTCCATGCAGGAGATGCACTGGGCTTAGATTGCTCACGGTTCGAGAACACAGACTGTGTGTTGACAGCTGGCCAGGAGACCAGGAGACCAGGATACCGAGCAGGGCCTACCTCAGCAGCCTCTGTGTCCCCAGCCTGAAACTGCAGAGCGAAGCCCTCCACAACGGCCAGGCGCAGTATAGGCTACCGGCCACAAGAAAGTCACCCCACCCCTGTAATCCAGTTTCGAAGCAAAATCAAATTAGAGTTTTATTTTGGAATTTGCAGAATTAAGCGAGAATTCAAAGGAAATGCACATATCCACCAAACATCTTGCGAGAGCATGTGTGCTGTTTCTGTACCCCATCTGGTGGCTACTAGGGAGAACTGCAAGCCGGTTGGATTTCGCTGCTTCACTCTCGGGCCCGAGGTGACATATTGTGATAATTAGTGTTGCGAAAGGAGGAACGAAAATCAGTCCTGTTTGAAATCAGAGAGGGCAGAGTCGCTGGTCTTTGCTCTCACTGTATACGGTGTGATTCGTGTTGCATTATGTTACAGAACTGTTTTTATGGCGGTATGCTGTGCAGGCCAGGTGTTTCTCTGGGTGCAGGGATGTGCGCTCTCTCCCTGGTGCGGAGCTGCGCCTGCCTTCGCTGTGACGTCATTGTTTCTGGACTCCGGCACCTCTGAGCCCGTGTCGCAGGTCATCCTCCCTGGCAGGGCAGGAAAGTCCTTCTTCGCTCTTCACTAGTTAGTGCTGTGATCTTCTCTGGTCGCTGTTGTCCTCAATTATTCTTAAAAAGACCACTACTCTGTGCTGAACTTGGCTTGTTCAACTGTTACAACTAAGGGAATATAACAATGCCTGGCATTTGTTTTAAAGTTTATTTTCTCCTAAATTGATCAAACATGTGCATGCGTGTATCATACAATATAATTATATTTACTGTTTTATTTCTATTTTGCTTTGATAAAAAGCTGGGACCACTAATGAAATATTTCTGTATCCGTGTTGGTCGCACACTCATCGTTCTTTGTGTTATTCTTCAGTGCTGCTGAAGGGCTCGTCGGGCTCCGCCTGCGGGGGGCGCAGTCCTGCGACTAGCACGGAGCTCTGGGCTCTGCAGGGCCGCGGCTGTGGGCTCACTCGGCTCCACACTGGCTGCGCTATTCCTGCGGCAGAGCTTTTCCACCTCGGGTACCGCCATTTCATCTGATCGCGACGCTAGTTCTGCGTTAGCACGCAGTAGCAGTCCTGACATGATAAATTCTAATTGCCTCCTTATTGAAAACACCAACGGTGGATGGAACTATATCAGAATCAGGCTGGTGCATGCAAGTCAATAGTATACACTTCTGTCTTGCCCCTTTTTCATTGATTTTGGAACAATTTTGGACACCCACACAAAGCTGCTTTTCCACACTGGAAAAGAATACTGAGATCAGTTACGACTCCGATAGTATTGAGGTCAATACTGTAGCAACAGCAGAAAACATCAAACATTGTCTATATACAGTTAAGAGACCGGCGATGTTTCAATGACCGCCACTCGCACTGGGCCGATGCTCCTCCTAGTAACGGTAACCATGGTGATAACTTACGTCACACCTGAGGTTGCCATGGTTCTTGTGACGAAATGACCCTGAAAAAGTGCCAGAGAGACCCCGTACTGCGGTAACCAAGGTTACTGGTGGGGGGAGGGGCGGGGTTTAGAGGAAGCGGAAGTGCCGGTGCAAGCGGAAGTGGTACTGCCCTGAAGATCCCGAACAGCGAGACGGAGGACGGAGAGAGAGACTCTCGTCGCCTAGAGATAAAAGCAGGACTAAAATTACATTAATAATGTGAGTTTATCAGCACAGGAACGAATTTAGGACGCTTTTATGTGTCGAGGGCGAGGTATTGGGATTCACAAACCATAAATGATGGGTGGAATGACGGTCTCTAGCGGAAGGTGCCTATTGTGGTTTGGGCTCGGAGCAAGGACTTAGGCCGTGTGATGAATAGCGCCCAGATTCAAGGGTTGAGAAAAAAATGATTTTTTAAATGGAAGAGACGGGTGTTATCGCATAGATAACCAGGTCAGGCCGGGAATCGTCTTATCATGCGCTTTCCCCTAGCAGACGAGTGTCCTGGCTTGGATATTTCTCGCCGCCTGGGGTATTTATCGGAGCAGTACAGGAAAGGCCGGGCCTGTGCGGCTGATGAACAACAATAAAAATGCCATTGATATCTATAAACCGGCCACCGTCCTGCACCGCCTGGCCTCCACGCCGCCCAGGGGCTGCTTCCCAGCCTCAAAATCTCTCGATTGCGGCGCGATACCGCAGAGCGACGGTGCAGAGATGGTGTAGGTGTGTTTTTGAGCGCCGGTACGGATTAGGATGACACGACGGGGCTGAGGAAATCGAGTCGGTATTGAACAACGGGCTTTTTGGACGGCTGTTTCCTGGTAGCACGATAGTTAGCCGTTCTTTTATTTGACCTGAATTTGTAAGTATGGTGTAAGCACCCCGATTCTGAATGATTTTGTAGGCAAATGAAATACGAGCTGTTGATTATGCAGGTAAATAAAATGGAGGAGTTGTTAAGTTGCTGCAGCAGCGATATTGACACATTTCCAATGAAATCCACTTTTAAATAATACAAGGCAGGTATTTTCTGCGCCTAGTGTGCCGTTTATTCCTAAACGTATGATGGTGTCTTCACGTCAGGTTTCGTTGTACGTCTGTAGCGCGATGCGGGCTTTTCATTTCAGACTCGGACGTTTTTAAACCGGTCGTTTGCCGTGTGGGAGCTTCTCGCCGATTTCGGTTCGCGTGTTTTTGTGTTCTAGTCATTTTTCTTGAGACCTGCGGTGGATCGGCCCGGGGTGGGAGCGGCAGTCGTCACACCTAGTGGACCGGGTGGAGTCGGGCAGGGAGTGGTGGGTCGCTGCCGTAGCCGGGCTGCTCATGACAGAGACAGCGTGACGAGAACCGCCGAGTGCTTCCTGGTGCCCGGCAGTGCGGTTCCTTGACAATAGTCTGTCATCGCATAAATATCGGAACGCGTATCTGATTTCGTGCTGGTTATGAGCAGGGAATCACCCTGATAGGATTGTCCTCAAGATTGCAAACATATCTCAAAACATGCCGTTTTCACGTAGGGACACACAAACCTCTGTTGGGTTTGGGGAGTCTGAAATATGTTGCCTCTGTGTTTGTTTAGTCGGAGGCAAAAACAGTTTCTACTGATAGACTGATTTCAAAAGTCAGCAAGTAACACAAAAAGGTGATGATACCTGGGGAGGTGAAGTTCTCAAGTTTCACACAGTGTTGGAATGCATATCCTTTTCTAACATTTCAGGCTATGAAAGCCTATGACTTTAAGGCCTAATGCAAATCCCTCAGCTTTGAGCTACCAGCATGGAGATATCAGTACATGCTTTTGCTTTTTAAATGGCCACATTATGCCCCTGATGTACCTTGATGTCTTAAAAAGATCAAATAAGTAGGAGCACAGACCAGAAGGCTCTGTGTTTAGGTGAGAGCTAAACTCGCTCAGGTCATAGAGCAGTTGTTCCCTGCTGTGGAATGGGATAAGGTAGGTATGGAAAGGGGCAGTATGGAAATCTCACTGCCAGCTGGGGGGTGAGTATCGGAAACCGTCCAAGAGACGACACCGCCCCTGTCTGTCATTTGACAGCCAGAGCTTGGAGAGGTGGCGCTGCAGGGAGTGGCTGCGCTCCAGGCCATGTGGGCCTGAGCCGAGCTCACTGGAGCAGGTGCCCAGAGGGTCGGGCGGCTGGGTTGTCCTGGCCAGAATCTGGCTGAATGTGGCCCTTCAGACCTGGCCTTTGTGTTCATCATACTGCACGGGGTCTGTTTGTGGATGTTCAAAGGAAGAGACTATTACAGGTTTTTCCCTCTTAAGGTTTAAGTCAGATGTAAAAATTTCAATAGATCAAATCAGGGTTCAGGAGGAATATGATTTTATGGAACATGAGACCTTAGGTTGATGAGTTGCACCACAAGCCTTGCAAGGACAAGTGGGCTGAAAGTGGATGGGCAGGGCAAATTACATGGTGGGTCAATTATCTCATGAGGCCTTCTTAGATCTCTATCAAAGCAGGCCCACATGGGAATGTTTATCCTACCGGTATTTGAACAGTGTAGTCCTCACTGAACTGGCAAAGTAGAGAAATCCTTGAGTGCTTTTTATAATGTGTGCTGTTGTATAGAACCCAGTGGCTAAAGTGTCACTGATGGTGTCGCATTAGGGTAGTGATTGCAGTATTGGTGGCACCACTCAAGGCTGGGCAGAGGCTGCCTGTGTTCAGTTCCTTCCTCGGGGATTGTGGTCTGATAGGACATTCTCATTAGGTTTTGGGGGTGAAAGAGGGTAGCTCTGGACAGTGAAAAAAGGTTTTATTCAAGCTTGTTTGTCTGTGTTACGGGGATATAGATCTCTTTAGTAATATGATTTTTGTTAATTTTGAAATTCTGGTTTTGTATTCCTTTTCTAAGTGTTTCCTTGAATCTCTAATACCAAGTATTTACCATTATCATCACCTTCACCCTCCCTTCTGTGTTGCCTGTCCTGCCTTTATTTTTATTTTTGCTTAAAGCCATCTTTAAAAATGAGGGGTTTCCATTCGCTCTCAGAGTTTCAGGGGTGGGGAAGTGCTGGGTGCCTCTTCAGCAGCGCCAGCTCGCGGGGGGTTCAGGGCCTGGGGGGCGGGGCCGTGCAGCCAGTCCTCAGCTGTCCCCCGTCTCTCTGCAGCCTCTTGAAAATGGATAAGAGCGACCTGGTACAGAAGGCTAAGCTGGCCGAGCAGGCCGAGCGCTATGACGACATGGCGGCAGCGATGAAGGCGGTGACGGAGCAGGGCCACGAGCTCTCCAACGAAGAGCGCAACCTGCTGTCCGTGGCCTACAAGAACGTGGTGGGCGCCCGCCGCTCCTCCTGGCGCGTCATCTCCAGTATCGAGCAGAAGACCGAGGGCAACGAGAAGAAGCAGCAGATGGCGCGCGAGTACCGCGAGAAGATCGAGGCTGAGCTGCAGGACATTTGCAACGACGTGCTGGTGAGTTTCCGCACTTCGGGCTCCGTTCTGTGGCCTTGAGAACGGGGTAGCTCGCTTTCAAAGGGCTTGCAGCGTCTCAGTCTTAGCGTCCCACCTCTGTTTCAAATCCCTCCTTCCCCTCATGCTGTCTCGGATAGGGGTGTGCAGAAAAGGCTGTGCAGAGCTGGGGTGTTTAAATGGGAGGAGGTTTGGGCCTCCTTAGTTCTGCCATGTGTTTGAGTAAGTGCACACCTAAAGCCGTGAATAAATGGTAAAGATCTCTTGGGTATGAAAGTGTTTTAGACTGCCTCCCCCACCGCCTAAGTTTTGAAAAACATGTGGGAGAGGCTCGGTCTGAGCAAGCTAACCTATTGTCTTACATATACCCTGGATTGTTGTTTGGTTTTATTTTTTCCTTTTAATCAGGTTATGAAAGTGGTAACCTATAGTTCATTGCTCATTTTTATATGTAATTCATTTTTTTTTAATACTCGGTTTTCTCTTTTTCCAGGGACTTCTTGATAAGTACCTCATTGCCAATGCGACTCAGGCAGAAAGCAAGGTCTTCTACCTGAAAATGAAAGGAGACTATTACAGATACCTGTCTGAAGTGGCATCCGGTGACTCTAAGAAGAGTTAGTAATATTAAAGTATCCTCAGAGGCAGGAGAGTGTAAACGCTTATTTCATAGGAGAGCGGCTCAAACAGGCATCAGAGCTAAATAACTTATTAATAGTAAAAAAAATTAATTTGTTATGCAGTTTGCTGTAAATGGTAATCTTGATAATCTTTTGGATTCAGTTAACACTAAATATTCTAGTTTGCAGTATTTTATTTTGAAGTTTATTTTGATTTTAATAATTGGTTGTGCGTAGGTCGTTCTTTTCTTTCTTTTATTTAGCATTATCAGTATTTAAATATTGAAAATTTTATATTATATAATAATATAATATGTATAAAGTTTTTATATTTGATTTAATCGTAGAAATTCTGATTTTTAAGAAAGCATTACGATATCTAGGGTGTAAGATTTCTGTGGCTTTAGGTTAAAAGTTGTGGTATAAATTCTCCCTCTCTTTCACTGAAGCCACAGTTGAGAATTCCCAGCAGGCCTACCAGGAGGCTTTTGAAATCAGCAAGAAGGAGATGCAGCCGACGCACCCCATCAGACTGGGCCTGGCTCTCAACTTCTCTGTCTTCTACTACGAAATTCTCAACTCCCCTGAGCAGGCCTGCAGCTTGGCAAAGACGGTGAGCTCCATTAGCCAGCACTTTCACACAGGGGGCCAGGCCACCCTGCTGCAGCGCAGGCTCCCGACGATCAATACACTGGGATTGTCACTGTCGGTAACTCTCCACCCCTGCAGCACAGGCTGGAGTGCCTTTGCTGTGCTTGATCACATTTTTTTAACTGTTTTAGTCTTGGTTCAACTACATATTAGTGTCTGACTTGTCCTGCTTCTAGGAATGCGTAAAGCATTTGTGTGGGTGGGGTGTTGATTTGAATAACTATCTGTGTTTTAAATATGTGTTGGTATGAACAGACTTGGGCGATCTTGTTCTGCATTTAGATGGTGGAAAAATTTAAATGCCTTTTGCAGGGTATGGGTCTTGGTGCTTATCAATTAAAAATTGGTCTGATTTCCATTGTTTCATACAGGGTAGTTCACCTACATAGGTGGCTCGTGGATCCCAGAAGGGTCTGGTTTCTGTGTTTGCAGCCCTCCTCTCCTTTTATTTCACAGCTTTTAAAACATTCTTGTTGGTGGTTTCAAAATCAGCAGGTGCATCTTTGAAAAACATGTTTTATCAGTGTGAATATTGTAGCAGGACTACAAATATTTTAATTTGAAAACCATTATAACCTCTTGTTGCAGAATAGCTCAGTGATGAAGCTTGGATTTCAGCTGACAGTGATGGTGTGCCATGGTCAGAGAGAACTGACAAACGGTTATCAGCTGCCAGGTCCTTTTTCCCAGTTTGCTGAGCTTTAGTTCTCCGGTCTCGCCAAATCGATTTACCAACAGTGTGGATCAGCGTTTGATGTTGCAGAAGTGCTAATCGTGCATTTGTGAGTGTTTCCAGGTGTATAACAGTCCTTTTCTTTAATCCCTTTCTCATTCCAGGCTTTTGATGAAGCAATCGCTGAGCTCGACACCTTGAACGAGGACTCCTACAAAGACAGCACGCTGATCATGCAGCTACTAAGGGACAACCTCACTGTAAGTTGTCAATGAGGTCTGCAGGAAAAAAACGGGCACAAGATGTGCAAGTGCTGTGAATGTAAAGAAGATGCAGAGGGTTAAAGGCATGCAGCACACAAGCTGCCTTCCTTGTGGTGTGCTTCGTCCTTAAACCTTGAAATTAATATTTTGAAGGTTGCATGCTTATAAGGAACGTAAGTCTTTAAAAAAAGGGAAAGTTTCCGGAGAACCTTTCCATTTTTGCCTGAATGACATTCACAGCTCGGACAGCAGGCCTTCTCATTCTCTTCATTCTTCATACAGACATCCTGTTATCAGATTCCTGTGAGACCTTTTCTGCACTGATATTGATCTTAGTTTCTTCATTTTAAAATTGCTCACCCATGATATCTGCAGTCTGAATCCCCAGCCTAATGTGATTGTGGGGCTCTCCAGGCTTTTTTAAGCACAGATTGCGAAGGTTCTGATCCTCCCCTTTTCTGAATCAAACAAATTTCCAATCACTGGCTTCAAAATTGTGATTTGGGGTCCGGTTTTGGGGATAGTTTTCTGAATGTACTGTTACACTAATGGTTCTTTTGGTTTTGGGAATTTATTTGGGTTGGTTTCCGATCTGAATTGATGCCCCTTTCGATTTTGAAACGGATCGAATTGATCCTGGGTTTAGCAAGTCTGAGTCATACCTCAGAGAAATGAGCACCGAGGTCTTCTGTGTATGATAGCACAGACATTACTGACGTTCATATTGGTCTTTATACGTTTCAAACCTCATGTACAAGACTGGGGTGAATTGTAGGATTTTAGTCAACAGGGCTCTGTGATTTTGCTTAGTTCTGCACTGATCTGGGATATTTAAATTCATCTCCTTTCTCTTTATAGCTGTGGACATCAGAAAACCAGGGCGACGAAGCAGATGCTGGAGACGGGGAAAACTAATGGCATTGCACTTCACTGTTAATCCACCCACACTCTATCTTACACACATTCAGCCCATATGTACCCTGCTCCATCAGGATCCCCCTTCTGTATGACAAGCAGCAAGAATTGTACCTGACCTAGCATTTGTGCCCTCCTCAAATAGCTCAGAGGTGACAGGGTAACATTCAGTTAATAGCAGGCTCACAGTCTCTTGTTTTTGTGAATTAGCACCAGGTCTAGCAGTGAGGATATTTTCCTGTTTTTTTTTCTGTTTGCCCACCCCACTTCCCCACCCTCTCCAGTTTCGTCAGTTCCATTTTTTATTTTTAATCTTATGTTCTTTCACCCAGCAAATTGTGCATTATAGTATACATCATTTTTTGTTATTGTTAACTTTTATAGTGTAATCTGTCATGGCATTTGCAGGTTTTATTCTAAGGTTATTAAACTGGCAGTTTATTTTCACCAAACACTGTGACGCTTAGTTTTGTTTTTTCCCATCACATATATATATGTTTGTGTATATATATGTAAATTAGTAATTCTGGTCTGTAAAATGCAGAAGGCCGTGTGGTGCTGTGTTTGGGAAACCGTACAATTCTGCTGTCGGCTCATACAGAATGGATTGATAGGCTGTATTGTGACACTGACTAATGTGCATATTGCTATGTAATCATGTTCACAATTTTATTTTGCATAAAAACATAAAGGGACCCAATGTTTCCATTCCAGATATGTTTGGGTTTTTTAAAAACATTCCTTCATAACATTTGTTGAAAATTGGCTGCCTTTGAACAAAAGTATTCTCTTAATGCACTGTCCAGGTAAAATGAACATAAAGGTGCTGTTTGGTATCAGTACAGCAAACCTCATGTTGTGACTTTTCCCTTTTTTCCTTGCATAACGATAGCTTTTTTCAGTGAAACCTAAAATGTAAATTTAAACTTATTTTAAAGAAGATGTTACATCATAATGTTGTGAACGTGCTTGCATTGAACCACCTTAAAGCCATTGCTTTTAATTTGTTCCAGTTGGCGTTTCTGGAGCCTACCCTTAAGCTGACAGTTCAAACTGACTAAAATGACTTTCTGTGCTCTGAACAGCAGTATGTGAAAATGCTAGAAAAGCCTGTTATAATAACCTGTGCTAACTAATCGTAGACCTGAAGTTTCCGGAAACCTGGTGGCTTGTAGGCTTGGGAATGGTACCCGTTGTTTGACCACTGCTGATATCTGTGGTTCCGAGAGGACTGACCTGTTAGCACTGGGACAGAGGACAGGTGTTGCCCAATAGGCACCTGGTAGCTCTGAACTGTGGGGTTGGAGTAGATTTAAGATCTGTGATTGAAGTGAAAGATTAAGCTGAATTAATTCAGTGTCACAATACACAGCCACTACCATAACATTCCATATAGGTGTAGAATTCATCTGTCTGTCAGTCTGTCTTGCTGAAGACAATGTTTCATGCACTGAATAAAATCTCCCTTCTAGCTGAACAAATGGCAGTTAATATTCTACGCTTGATAAATGCAGTAGTGAATGTGGAACCGAGCCTGTCTGTATATCTGGTATCTCTACTTGCTTTGTTTTTACTGACCAGTATTCTGCCTAAAGTTTGCTTCTGTGACGGTTTTATCGCCTAGTGCGCACGTGGTTGTGAAAATTTAGTATAGCTTAAAAAAAGAAAAACTAAAAAAAATTATACCTGGTTATTGACGTAATACTAGATTTGTGTATGTCTTTTAAAACAGTTCTAGTTTCACCTTACATGTAATAATCAGGAAAGTGTAAAAGACAATTTAAAGTGAAATAAAAGTTTTATCAGTTCAGAATTTTCCTGCTTTTCTGTTTAAAAAAAACTGCCACATTTAAAAAAAAAAGCTTATCTTTCTCCGGTTAGGTGTTTTAAAAACTTTGGCCTAGGGCTTTAGATGTCTATATCCTGTTTCCTGTTTAGGTTTGTACCTAATATGTGAAGGGTAATAAAATCCATTTCATTTGTGTAATGAAGAGAAATTGCACAATAACAGTACTGGCACTGAGTGTTTACTGCAGAATGTCAGATAAGACATACTGTTTTTTTGGGTGTAAAATAAACAATTGTCAAATTAAGAATCAATAAGAACATCATTTGCTAAATAGATTAAAAATTCTCTGGTGGGGTATCCTTCAGTCGTTGAGACTACAAGAGAAAACAGGTCATGGATGGAATCTACATCTATCCTGACCCTGACTGTCTACTTAAATGGTAGCGGTACTTTCTTGGGAAGCATAATGAGAGAAAAGGACTACTGTATGTCAAAGTCACTGACTTAATGTGAGCACAACCAAGCTTCAGGCAGCTCAGAGGAAACTGGGTTATAAAATAAATATCCACACAAGAACCACTAGCTGCTTGGCAATCTAGGTCAATGGTTTCCAAACATTTTAAATCTTGCACACCACTGGGATCGGAAGGCAACAGTGTTAACCGTGAGCAGCCTGGAAACGGGTAATGCAGAACAGAAGTCTGTCCAGGCCGTGAGAATGTGAGTATTGGCCAGATTTGTTCATCAACATTTGCAAGCTGTGAACCTGTCAAGCAGCCTGGTTGGTACATGTTGGACAAGGTAGAACTCAATGATGTAAGGAGGACATCAGGGGTGGCTATTGGAATGCATACATGTGGTGAAATGTTTTTTGTTCTACGGTAGGAAGGTGGTGTTTGTAACAAACTTGAAAGTTCAAAGTAACACTTGCCATTTGAAGTGACCTTTAAAAAGTAGAATTATACTGTGACTTCAGTTGACAAGGTAGTAAATAAGTTATTTTCAGTAGAAATAAGTGGTAAATTCATTTTTGGGATTTTTGTTTTTAATAATTCATTGTATTCATATAATACTTTTCACCCTAAAAGGAGTGAAAGCGTAAAGGATATACTTCAAATAGATCAGGTGGGGAGCTGTGTCAGCATGCGTAGGCTGCAATGGAGCAATAGGTTTATTCCTGCTGAAAAGAGAAGAAAGAACACAACAGCTTGGAATAAACGTATTACTTGTTACTTCAAATAGATGAGGGGACCTGCATTATCCCATTATTATATTTACAACCCCACCTGAGTGAGACATGGAGACCATTCTGCACCAGCAGCACCACTGCACAGTGGACTTACGGGAGGAGTGAGACTACTTTTTAAGTTGGTCCGATTGCACAAACCCAAAGTGGAATTCGGTCAGGACGCTAAGGGTAACACTCCTACCTTTTATGTGCAATTTCAATGGATCTTCGATGATCAAGTCCCAGGTCACGTTGGAAAACTGTGCAGGCACTTCAAGAACACTGCTTTCTGGTCCACCTAGAGTAGCAAACCTTTTTTTCCCTTGCATTCCAGTAATAATCAGCTTCAGCCTTGCCTAGCTTTTGACCTAGATGGACAAGTTTTTTTTGCTTCATACAATTGTAAAAGACAATGTACTGATGGGGAACATGTCCGTGCCAGTGTCAGAATATAGTTGCTCACACTGCCTGACCCTCTCAATACCTCACGTCTCTGTTCACTGAAGAGTTCGATCTGTGCGCACTCTAAACTAATGAAACATTCCCTGCATTAAATGGCTGAGCTTTTGACAGGAACTGGTACTGTTTGTGTAAGCTGGCTGTCACTGAACCACATTGAACAATTTCATTTTACACCAATATCGTGCCAAGTTCAGGGTCCTTTCTAGAGTGCTTAATTCTACTCTTGTTGACAGAACAACCAAAGCAGAACAAGGCTCTTGTTAAGAGCTGAGAGCCAACACTGTTCAGATAAACAAAGATCACACTACAATGCGGAAGTTAATTTCTCCATCCAATTCACAAAGGAAATTTAAGTGCTTTTCTAGCCTTTAAGGATTCTTCTTTGGGCATATTAGAAGTGCAAGCCATTTATTTTTACATATCCTTTATCAAGAAGATATGATAATGTTTTTTTTTTTTTCGTTATGGGATTTATTTGATCTTTTTTGACAAACAAGACTAAGGAATATTCAATATCGTAGGTTCGAACATACTTAACATCCTTTGTATCTCCTAAGTACACACCTCACAAAGGGCATTACAACAATAATTAATGAGCATCTGGTCCTATTCTATATAAAAAGCTTTAGTTGGTTCGGCCTAAAATTTACAGCTTTATCAGTCGAGATCAATGGCACACTTGGAGGATGTATGAATTAAAACTTGGTAACAAAAATAAAGATCATACTCTTACAGATACATCTTTATTTAATTTCGGTATTTAAAGGCCAGCACGTATTTAAACGTCATGACTTGCCCAAAGGTACCATCTCACAGCAATGTGGTGGCCCATATATATGTAAATAACTCGCTTAAACTGACTACATAGTTACCCGTGTTTATCTATCTGTGCGGGTATTTTTAACTCGTTCCCTATCCGACAGCCCGCCCGGGGGTGCGGCCTGAGCAAAGCCTTTAAAAACACCTGACCTTCCGGCCCGCCGATTCCTGTCCGAGCCACGGCGACTTGGGGCTTTAAAAAGACATTTAAAGAAAGAGGTCTGTGCGTGAACAAACATTTTAAGACACCCCACCCCCATTGCTAACTCAGGTAAGAGCTTTTTTGTTTTATTTGTTAAGCAGCTCACGCAGTTTTATTTTCTTCACAATTTTGAGGGCTTCGTTTTCCGCCCATTACTTGGAAACGCAAAGGGTTCGCTTCGAAGCCCGCCCTGTAAATCGCTCTGCTCGGCTGTGGCCGCGTTGGTCTGCTGGGGGCCCGGGCCGCCAGATAAGAATGAGCACGGCTGATGGGTGCCGCGCGCGACGCTGTTGGAGGGAAATGGCGCCACAGGGATCCGGTTTAAAACCCAGTTCTACGCGTTTGTTCCCGTCTCGGCGGCCGTGCTAACTTTTTTTTATTTTAGTTTTCGTAAGTTCTTCGCGGTGTCTTGAGCAGGGTCAGGCGATATTTTGGAACAATTGTACAAAATGTGCTTTTGATGTGCTTGCGTAAAGGAAATTCGCAGATTAACTAATCTATTTGGGATCATATAAAAGTAAAATAAAAAGCCTTCTATCTCATTTTTTTTAAAAAAATCACCTGTTGCTCATCGTTTACGGTGGGTGTGGCTTATCTGGTGCAAAGTGTTTTGTTGTTGACAGTAGCTTGTCCAGTATTCGCACTTCACAGACCCGAATAGCACATTTGAGCTCTTCTATTATGTTTGTGAGCGATAGAAACCCACAGGCTGGTGAGTGTGTGCAGTGGCGGTACCCTCTCTCTGTCCCTCCCCAGCGAGCTCCTGATGAACAGCAGCGGGCCCGCATACCCCCTGGCCTCTCTGTACGTGGGGGACCTGCACCCCGACGTTACGGAGGCCATGCTGTACCAGAAGTTCTCCCCCGCTGGGCCCATAATGTCCATCCGGGTGTGCCGAGACATCATCACCCGCAGGTCCCTGGGATACGCGTACATCAACTTCCAGCAGCCCGCCGACGGTGAGGGACAGGAGGCTGGGGTGGAGACAGAGAGGGTAGGAGTGTTGGGGTGCTGTGAGGCTCGGGTACAGACAGAAGGGACTGAGGTGTTGGAGTGCAGACAGAGGGGACTGGGGTGCTGCGAGGCTGGGGTGCAGACAGAGGGGACTAGAGTGTTGGGGTGCTGTGAGGCTGGGGTGCAGACAGAGGGGATGGGGATGTGGGGGTGCTGTGAGGCTGGGGTGCAGACAGAGGAGATGGGGGGGCTGGAGTGTTGGGATGTTTGGGGGCTGGGGGGCGATCTGTGTTGGGGCTGAGGCTCTGCTGGCTCCCTGCAGGGTCAGCGCTGTGGGCAGGGGAGCGAGGATCATCGTGAAGGATGGTGAGCATCTGTGAGCGTTTCCGCCATAACACCAGCTCTGCAAGAGACGCTGGGAATTAAGAATTAAGTGTTGGCGATTTAAGAATTAAGTGTTGTCAGTAAAGCTCAATGGCTAATTTTCAGAATTTCAGTTGTTGCCGTTTAGAGTAAACTTGTAATGGGTAGGTTTTTTTCCCCTTCTGTAAACGCCTCTTGCAGAGCCCTTGCTGCAGCAGAGTGTGTTTGCCTGGCTTGCCAGAGGAAGAGGAAGGTCCCTGCTGAGGGCTGTCCCACGGAGTGCTGGGGATCCAGGGTTCTGATCCCTGCTTAGCTCCTCTCCTGCAGCCTTAAGCTGCTTTAGTGCTCACAGCTGGGTCAGTATGTGAGAGCTGGGCCACTGCCCTTGGCGAAAAGTAGAGTGACGCAGCGCGTCGGGCATAATGACATTACAGGAGCCTCCCGGTCCTGAGTCTCGGTTACCCTGTCAAAGGATTTTGAGTCCAAGCAGAGTCAAGCAGGTCTTTAATGTACTCGTCAGTTTGAATGTTATTGGTCTGATGAGTGTGGTGTGTGGACCCTGCAGCACCCTTGTGGCAAGATGCTTGAGCTCAAAGCAGTGTTGGCAGAGCTGCTGTTCCATTCCTGCTCCCAGTCAATATAGCTGCAGTTTTTGCCGTCACTAAGGTGTTCCCTTGCGATGGGTGCAGGCGCTTTCAGATTATCCCAAATTTCAGAGGAGGCGCAGTCCAGGGGCAGATGTTTCAATGAGAAAATTCTCCGCTCGGGGATGTTTTCAGCCTCGGTGAACCCAAGTGGCTCAGGGCTTTGCTGAAGTCCTGTCCTCTCGTTCTCAGCTGAGTGTGCGCTGGACACCATGAATTATGAGGTCATCAAGGGCCGGCCAATCAGGATTATGTGGTCTCAGCGCGACCCCGGGCTGCGCAAGTCAGGAGTGGGCAACATCTTCATCAAGAACATGGACGAGTCCATCGACAACAAGGCCTTGTATGACACCTTCTCTGCTTTCGGCAACATCCTCTCCTGCAAGGTACAACATCCCTCTCCCCTCTGCCCTGTGTCAGAGACTCCCAGATTAATTTCGGTCGGAACCAGCCGCATAGGGAAGTGGGCTGGAAATTAGCTCAGAAATGTCTCTGAGCATCTTTTTCTCTAGTGCCTCCATCTTGAGTTGCTGGGACTGCAAAACTAGTCAAATAGTTAAACTGTTCCTGTAAGTGCTTGTTTATGTGCAGCTGTATTTTAATATCCATTCATTTCTTTGTGGCTGGAGACTGGTGCCGTCTTGAATCCCCAATTTTCTTGTTTTTGCAGGTCGTATGTGATGAGAATGGCTCCAAGGGTTATGGTTTTGTTCACTTTGAAACGCACGAGGCAGCAAACCGGGCCATTGAAACGATGAACGGGATGCTGCTCAATGATCGCAAAGTGTAGGTATTGGGAAAGGGCAGCCTTGCTTTGAGACGCTGTGGGGTTCGTGTCCTCGTAAGTGATACTCCCTTTGTCCTGATCTCTAGGCTTTCAGCCAGTGGTGTGAGCTGGGCACCAGATCTGGACCAGAGTTTCTGTATAGGTGTTGCTGGATAGGAATGTGTTTGAAAAGGAGCTAGCCATTTATTGTGAATTTCTTTACTAGCATTGATGTCTTGGTGATGGGTGACGGTTATGTTCTGCATGTTTGCCTTGCAGCAGAGAATGTGACTGTCTGTTTTTGGGGTGGGTGGGGGTTTGTGCAGTTTTGTTGGCCATTTCAAATCCCGAAAGGAGAGGGAGGCGGAGTTTGGTGCGAAGGCGATGGAATTCACCAACGTGTACATCAAGAACTTCGGAGAGGACTTCGACGACAACAAGCTGAGAGAGGTCTTTTCGGAATACGGTGAGACAAGTGCTCATGCAGTCTTCTGTTGGCAGCTGGAGTGAGGTGAGACACTGGGACCTGAAAGCTTGTGCAACCCTGGTGTGGTTCTGTGCTTCTCAGAACACCTCTGCTTGCATTGCTCTCCAGGTGCAAGACATAGAGAAACCAATTACAGGAGCAATTTACTAGACCTAGTAGTTTATAATAGGCTATACTCTTTTGACTTGTGTAAAGGTGTTTATCCTACACGACTAGGCCTTCGAAGTCAAATAATCTGTGAATTCCCGGAGTCCTGAAACAGATTCTCATACGGACTCGATGGCAGTCTTCTAAAACATGAGCCTGCTCTCTCGGCTCGGCAGAAGGTCCAGCTTCAGGAGGGTTTGTGTGAGTGAGCAGAAGTGTGGTGTGAGCGCCGGGGTCAGGCGGTCCGTCTGGGAAACTCTCAGGGGGGTCTCTGCGTGTGTCCTCAACCTCCCCTCCCCCCCAGGCAAGACGCTCAGCGTGCGTGTGATGGTGGACGAGCGGGGACGGTCCCGGGGCTTCGGGTTTGTGAACTACGAGAACCACGAGGACGCGCAGAAGGTCGGAGCCAGGCCCTGCTTCGTCACTCTTGTTTGTGTGTTGAATGATGTCTTCCTGCACAGCTCTTGTGTGATAAACTAGTTTCTTGCAACTTGTATGGCTTTGAGTAAACACATTGCACAGAACTGCTGGTAGTTTTAAAAATCCTTCCTATGTCTCCATGAGTATAGTGTGCCTGTAATTGAGACAATTCTGTTATTCTAGTGAAAACAGAATATCCTGCCATAGTTCATCAGCCAACCCCTCATGTGTAGTGTTGTTCCTATGGGGAGACTGATTCGGAGTCAGGGTTTCATTTTGCGATATGGAAGCAACTGTCGCAGATCTGAGCACTGAAGGCTGGGCTCATGGAACCAAGTGAAATTGCACCAACAAGTCCACTAAGAAGCCCTTTTAACAAAGTGACTTGTCCAGTTGCAGTCCATAATATTTTTAAAACATAAAGGAACTAATTGATGTAGTTTTCATCTGCAGCAGCAGGATTGGGGTTAGAGTGTTGAGAATCTGCAGGTGTGTGGTGGACCTCCATGACTGGAGGTCTGCTATGCTCTGTCTAAAGAACTGGTCCTCCTCCTCCTCCTCCTCCTCTTCCTCAGGCCGTGGAGGAGATGAATGGGAAGGAGCTGAACGGGCGGGTTATTTACGTCGGCAGGGCCCAGAAGAGGCTGGAGCGGCAGGGCGAGCTGAAACGCAAGTTTGAGCAAATTAAACAAGAGCGAATCCACCGGTACCAGGTACAGTGCAGGAGGGACGCGCATGAGCTGCACGGTTTTCCAGAACTGCCCCCTTAGGCACAGAGCCTCCGCTTGTCAGACTTGGCATGGCTGTCACCTGAGCAGTAGATCACTTGTGGCTTGATCTTGAGCTAGGGGTAGGGATCTTGAAAGTTAGGTGCTATTTTCCGTTCCCAACTCCTGTCTCCGTACTGTATGTGCACACTTTGCTTGGGGCAGTTGGCACTGGAAATGGTGTAGAGCAGTACTGAAAGGTTTTTCACGCCGCTGCTGCTCCGTCCTTGTCTTTCGCAGGGTGTCAACCTGTATGTCAAGAACCTGGATGATGGCATCGACGATGAGAGGCTGAGGAAAGAGTTCGCGCCTTACGGGACCATCACCAGTGCCAAGGTGGAAACTGTCTGTTCTACAAAGCTCTCTCCTTGCATGCCTCTGATTTTGTGATGCTGAAGCAGCTTCCTTGAGCTGGCTGGAGATTGGGGAGCTTGCAGAGCCTCTGAGCTGGAATGCAGAGAACGTGGGATGAGAGCCTGTGTCTGTAGAGGATGCATTGCAAGCCCAGTCAGGTTCTATCAGTGACCATGGCGCTGTGCTGTCCCCCCCCCCCCAACCCAGGTGATGACCGATGGAGGTAAGAGTAAAGGCTTCGGCTTCGTGTGCTTTTCGTCCCCTGAAGAGGCGACGAAGGCTGTGACGGAGATGAACGGCCGCATCGTGAGCACCAAGCCGCTGTACGTGGCGCTGGCCCAGAGGAAGGAGGAGAGGAAGGCCATCTTGACCAACCAGTACATGCAGAGGCTGGCAAGTGTTCGGGCCATGCCAGGCCCGATCATAGGGTCTTACCAGCAGTCTTCAGGGTACTTCGTGCCTGCTGTTCCACAGGTAAGCCCTCCACTGGTAACAAGAAGGTTACTCGTGTGAGGAGGTCATGTCTGCCTGTGTGTTCAAAGGATCCTGCTGTCTGCACCATATTGTACACCTAGGTGACTCTGGATTTTGTCTGTAACAGTGCAAGTAGGATGTCTTTTTTTTTTTTAACCATCCTAAGCACTGATTTGTTTTTAAGCAATGCATATCAATCCACATGAAATTAATCCTTGGCCGTAGCATATTGTCTGAACCTTCCTCAGTGGAACAGCTGGGTCTCCCTAAAGATCTTTCTCTTCTTTCCCTGCAGCCCCAGGGCCGCTCTTTCTATGCCCCCAACACAGTGGCCTCGATCCGTGCAGCCCCTCGCTGGACCACCCAGCCCCCCAGACCACAGGGTAGGTCCCCCAGGAATCCCGGGTGGGATACTTGGCCGCGTTCGTGGTCCAAAGTTGGAAGAAATGTTCAACATTGGAGACTAAAGCTGTTTGTTTTAAACTTAGCTGGTCAGTAAGTCTGATCAGAGCTACATTTGGGCAGGCTTCGTGATCCTGATCTAACAAGCGACTTTTGATTCAGGACTTGTGGGGTGAAGCTCTCAAGACGTGAGTTTTCATAGAAGAATCTAGTACTTTAAACGTGATGCCCAAAACAGCAGGGTTGGCTTCTTGTAGCTTCATCTGGTACGGCCAGTCAGTCAGCTTGGTCACTCCTGGGATTACCACTACTGTAAGGAAGACCAGTGTCTGGAGCTCATCCACTCTGCATTACAAGTTCCGAGCCAGCTCTCCAGTTTGGTGACCGGGGAAGCTGTGCTATAGGAGTTGCTGTCCTTTGGATGACGGGTTAATCCGATTCTGGTTACTCAGCCATGAAAGGGTTGTTAGCCCTGGTGTCTTGGCTAAAACCCTCTGTTTGAATAGTCTGGGCTCATTCACCTGGTGACGCAGTGTATCACCCTTGTCCCCGGTCTGCTGTGCAGTGGGGCTATTGTGTGTCGCCCAGGTGGGGGTAGCACTTCGGGGGTGGGGGGGAATCCCTTGGAAGGAGAAATCCCCTAACAAAGCAGGGGACTGTAGTTGGTAAGACACTTCTGCAGGTGTGTGCGTGTGTCTGTCATGTTTTTCTCCGCCTCTCCCTGCCAGCCCCAGGGCCTTACCCGACCCAGCTGTTGAGGCCGGCCCCTCCCCGGCGCCCCTCCACTCCTATCAGCACTATGCGCCAGGCCTCCACGCAGGCGCCGCGTGTCCTGAGCAACACGCAGAGGATGGGTAGGCAGACCGCGAAGGGTTGCGGCCACACACTGTCCACCGCCCCTGTCCGTGTCGCAGTCGTCTGCCTGAGCGCCCCTGTGCCAGGCTGCTTGAAAGCAAGACTGCCTTGAGGGCTGTAGCACAAGTCTTGATGTATCTGGGGGAGCTCTGGGCACTTCCTATACTGCCAGATGATGTGCGATGTGGGAAGAGTGTTCTGTGGAATATTGCATACAAGTCGCAGAAGCAAGTATAATTTATAGTTTCCAGATATAATTTTTAAAAGTATACAATACAGTAGGAAGACCCCATTTAGGATTACTATTTATGAGTTTGGTGCCAGTGTTACAAAAAGAGCTGCTTGTCCTGGAAGCAGAGAGCGGTCTGGAGCAGAGCAGCCAGCTTCATTCCCCAGTGTTAAGCAATGTGCAGCACAAACAGGCTTAAAGAGCTGGACTTCTTTAGTCTTGAACAGGGAAGACTGAGGCTGCCCCCATTCAAGTGTTCTGACTCCTCAGAGGCACTGACCCAGTCAATCCAGTAGACCTTTTCAGAATCATTGAAACATGAACCGGGTCGAGACAAGTAAAAATGATGTGGAAAAGCTGAGAAGAGGCACTTGACAAGTTATATGGCTGTGCTGTTGAAGCCGATACCCTGGCTTCTTTCGAGAAAGAGCTGGATGAGGTCCTAGGATCAATCGGCTACTAGCTGCCAAGCAAGCTACATGGACTGAAAAGTGATATATTTGAATGTAAGGACTTGTAATCGAATGGCTTCCCTCTTGTTTCTATCTTTGTTAATCAAGGCTCATGTTAATGACCTCCTTTGAATGGGCTTTGTTCAGGTGTTTAGATAAATCTCTGCTGCAGTTCTTCAGAAATCTTCGCAGTGTGGATTGGAAACTCTGCGTCATTTAATTTGAAATCGGGAGGGGTGTTTTTTATACACCAGGGAATATACCGTGTGCCAGTGTAAGTGCTGGGGCTGGGTGGGGGAGGAGTATCAGTGATTGGAGTTTAGGAACACTGGGCTGATCTGCGACTCCTGCACACCTTTCATTCTCCAGCCAACATCGGCACCCAGACGACCAACGGCCGCGCGCCCCTGTCCAGCGCCATCGTCAGAGGGGTGAGCCAGTACAAGTACTCCGCCGGGGTGAGGAACGTGCAGCACGTCATCGCCATGCCCGGTCAGGTCCCAGTGCAGCAGGTAGACTGGCAGGCGCCAGGGGGGGGCAGGCGACGCGTGCCGGGGTCTCAGGCCGGCGGGGGGGCTGAACCTGTGTTGTGCAGCAGGTGATGGAGCCGGCGGTTGTGGTGAGAGGACAGGAGCCCCTCACTGCCTCCATGCTGGCCGCCGCCCCCCTCATGGAGCAGAAGCAGCTGCTGGGTAAGTCCGCGCGGCCGCTCTGCCCTGGCGCGGCGGCTCGTGGCAGCGCGGGCTCCGTGGGTCACCACTCCTCTCGCCGGTGGCAGGGGAGCGTCTGTACCCGCTGATCCAGGCCATGCACCCCACGCTGGCCGGCAAGATCACCGGGATGCTGCTGGAGATCGACAACTCGGAGCTGCTGCACATGCTGGAGTCCCCCGAGTCCCTGCAGTCCAAGGTGAGCCGGCGGGCACCCCGGGCGCTCCTCTCGTACGAGGACAGCGTGTGCGCAGAAGGAATTCAGAGGGGAAGTTGTCAGACACATGGGTAGTATGCCATATATTAAAAACATTTTCAGGAATGAGATGTTCATGATGATACTGCTTACTTAAAATCCATAAAATTGCCGGATTGTGGTGGTTTCCGATGTCGAGGGCAGCTCAGTGCCTGTTCAGTCAGTCAGTTTACACAGTTGGAAAGTGAAGCTTCTGTCTTCTGCCTGGAGCCCGCTACCAGGGCATGCTGTTGCAAGCTCCTGGCATGTGGAGAAGAGGCTCGGATGGATGCCTGCGCAAAGCCCTGCATGGCGGCTGACTAAACTTTCTGCAAGGCTGGGGCCTGGGGTGTTTTGTACTGGGAGAATGACTAGAGATTCAAACGCAATTAGTCTTTCCTGGGTCAGTACCTTGTGTCTGGGGATCTGTATATTTCATGTGCTTTGTGAGCTGCAGACCTTGGGCTGGTCAGGTGGAACTTGGCTCTAATCGCCTGTCTCTGCCAGGTGGAGGAGGCTGTGGCCGTGCTGCAGGCCCACCAGGCCAAGGATCTCTCCCCCAAGAAGTGACTGGCGCTCCTCAGGTACAACTCCAGGGCTGTGGAAAGGCTCCTCCAGAATAATCACAGCCCTGTGTGCACTCTGTAAGGAGCTTGGAGGATTGTACCTCTGACCTATAAGAATGTCATGCAGCATCATCAAAACTGTTAAAATGCCACTTTTCCGACTCCGAAAAGGGCTTAATTATTTTTCAGTGGTTTGGAAACGAGTTATGTTAAAAGTAGGATTAAGTGACCCTGAACATGTCGACGGGCAATCTGCCGATTTTAAGATTTGTATTGCTATGGGGGGGGAATGTGGCTTTTATGCACCGTTTCCCTGTACATCCCCACCCCCCTTCTGGAACGGAAGATGCTCTGTCTCTGTTCTGCTCCTGTCCCAGGGCCGCATCCTGAGGAGCTCTGCAGAGCCCCTTGGGTTTGGAGTGCTCTGCTGTCCACGATGCTAAATAAAAGGTGTATAAAACTCTTTTGTGTCGCAGGCAGCCACTACCATGGAAAAAGGTGCTTCGTTGAAGAAGGAAAAAGGAAAGAATTGTAAAATGACAATACTAGTCTTGCAAATTGCATTTGTTTAGTGAATGATGACTGGCAAAGTAACCTGTTGGAAAGAGAAGTTGAAGGAGCCAGTAGGCTGTTTGCAAGGGAAGGTTATGTTTATTCAACTTTTGTTATTTAAAAAAAAGATATACATGTTTGTAGTTGGTACTACATTTTGTTTTCTTTGTGCATGAAATAAAAAAAAAACCTTAAGTGGATCTGGAGTGATGTTTGATTCCCCGAGCTTCACGCTGGACCCGACTCGAGCCCTGGACTGTACTGGACCCCACACTTGGGGCCACAGCCTGGCAGTCGGAGATGGCGGATACGCTTCTGTTCTTTGCCGTTCAATCTTGGCGAGGATTTGTGGGGTGGGCTGGGGGGTTGGTAGATTTGGGGAGCAGTGTAGTGCTCCTTGTGGTTGGTGTACATCTGCTTACACTGTACTGCTCTGAGAAACAGGAGAAGGGGCAGGACAATGTGACCCATGGGGATTGCAGGAGTGCAAAAGGCCATTCAAGCAGTTTCTGCAACACCACTGTTGGTTTAACCACAGTGTCTTGTGTGCAGTGAAGACTTCAGGTAAAATTGCTGGTTGCAATACCCAAGAGTTAACCCAAACAGCGCAAGAAATCGGCACAAGTCCCTGCTTTTACAAGACTCCTGCTCTTGTAAAAATACTCGTCACTTATTTGACCTTTTTATTTCCACAGTCCAATTTCCTTTTTTTAACTTGAAATAGCATTAGACTTCTCATAAACTGCATTTAAAGAGCATTTCTTAACATTGTCCATCTTTAACTACAGGTGTATGTGCCCAGGATTTCTGTGATTAAATGTACCCATATAGACTGGATATCTTTCCTACACAGGTCCTGTATATCTCCTATTCCAGCACTGAACAGTGCTTTTGTAAATGGTTAATTTTCTGAACACTGAAGCACTAATATTCAACTCTCTCATGTGCCATCACCTGCTAGACTTCTGGCCAACTTCCAGAAAAGGGAGATTGGTATTGCTTTGAAAACAAAAACCCTCAAACCCGTCTTCTCTAACTGTAGAGAACAGATTTTCAAATGTTTATAATCTTAAGAATTTACTATGGCACACCAAGAAAGAATAGAAAGTTTATAGTAAATAGTAAAACTGATGAAGTTGTGAAACATCCATGAGGAATGAAAATACCTTTCTGTAACAGTAACTCGTAAATGTTCTTAGACTGGACAGAATAGCTTCCTGCAACAAATGCATTTAAATTGTCCCAAGACCACCTTATTTTATCATCCATCCAGCCATACCTTTTGGTAAAAGAAAACATGCAACACTGTCTTTAAGAACATCAGGAACAGAAATGGTTTAGTACAAACCAGCTTTTTAATCATAGATATCCAGCTGAACAGGGAGCCATGCAAGCAGTGGCAGTTTTCAGAGGAGCTGCAACCAGCAGTTGATATCTGCAGTAGAAAACCACACTCCTTAGTTTTAAAGTATTTCTAACCTAATTCTCAAGCTTTCCATAAAGTAATAACAGATCAAGGTTTATCAAGATTTTTTACACCAAAGTTTTCAGGTTTCTTTATTTTCTATGCAAACAAAAAGACTTCATACTGTAGCTGATTACATATGGCTTTCAGTTTTTTTCAAAATAAAGTGCATTATTGCCCTTTTGGTGAAAAGTCCCTGATAAACCAGCCTCATAAACTAACGATTTGAAGCCTATGTACAAGACACTGATTCCTGACTAGAGTGGGAGTCGTACTGCGGCCTCGGACACGTCTCATCCGGGCTGTGGCGGCGATGTGCTCCTGCTGCTGCGTCACTTCGTCTTCTGCACCTCCTGCAGCAGCTTCTGAGCAGCCATGTTGCCTGGCTCGATCTTCAGTAAGGCGCTGAGGTCTCGAGTGCAGGCTTTGTAGTCCTGAAAGAGGGGAGAGAAAGGTCCGTCAGTGTGAAGAAATCACTCTGGAATAGACAAGGGAATTCAACCTTCATGCTTAGGCTTTGCTTTCTGTTACACTGCTTTGGAGTTCTGCTGTACATTCCGAGTGCATTAACTCAGAATTCCAATAAATGTTCTTTTTCTTTGATGTATAGGAATGTTAAAAATACATCAAAGTATTTTTGTGGACTTTACTCTCCTGCGAGAACTGCCTGATTTTTTTGGATCAGCGCACTCTCTTGGAACGTGTCGGCAAGACTAACGAGGTGTTTTCTGAAATTGCTTTTTGGTGATGAAGGTCATGAGGTCGCTGGGATTCTCACTTTCAGCTGCTTGTGGGCCTGAGCTCTTCTGTACAGCGCCTTGATGTTCTTGGAGTCCAGCCGCAGCGCCTCCCCGCAGTCCTGCACGGCCTCCTTGTGCATCTTCAGAGACAGGTAGCACAGCGCCCTGCGCAGAGGAGACAGAGACACGGGTTCAGGCAGACGTGAAGTGGCTCTTATTCCGACTGCCCACCTCGCTGGCGCAGTGCGGACCCCTACCTGTTCGTGTAGGTCGTGGCTTCCCTGGGGTTGAGCTTGAGGCTCTCGGAGTATTTCTCCGCAGCTTTCCTGTGCTCCCCCTTCTTCACCAGCGCGTTGCCCTCCTCCTTCAGCGCCAGTGCCAGCTTCTCGGCCGCGACGCCTGCAGGCAGGACAGCGCATCAGGCAGCGTGCCGGCTCTGCTCCCGAGACCCCACAGGTGCCCTGTGGCACGCCGCTCTCTTCCCGCAAGGACAGGGACTCGGGACCAACACATGGCCGCCAGCCGGAGCAGACAGGCTGAGCGGCCTTTGCATACTGCACACCCCAGCTCCCCTCGTGTCTTTCACAGAGCAGGCTAATACTTCATGGCCTCTCACTTGTGTCTTGACTGAGCACGTCAGTGTGGCGCAGCCGGACCCCGAGTCTCTTACCTGGGCTGCTGACGCCGTTCCGCTGCCCCGGGGGCACAGGGGCAGCGGCCTGCGCCAGACTCTTGCGCACCGACAGGGGGACGGCAGGGATCGGGGGCAGCTTCTCTCTCCAGCTGGGACCATCCTGCTCCTGAAGCACCTTTGTCATTCTGTGCCAAAGAGCAAGAGGACAAAGCTGAACAGACGCATCTGTGCATCCGGTCCGGAACAAGCCCTGTGGATCCGGGGACAGGCGCCTGCAGCGTGGCCCCCGTGCTGGAGTACCTGTTGGTGCCGTCGTGCGCCGCGGGGATGCTGCAGTCCACCTGCAGGACGGTCTTGTAGTCCACGTAGGCGAGCCGGTACCTCTCCAGCGCCTCATAGGCGGCCGCGCGTCTCAGCAGCGGCTTGATGGCGAAGGGGACCAGGCTGAGAGAGCTGGAGGCCGGGAGAGGGGAGAGTGAGGGGCTGGGCGGCAGGCAGCTGGCTGTGTGTGTGTGTGTGTGTGTG